GAGTCCTGATCCTTTTTAGTGGGGAAATAGTTTTTAGACACCAAGATCTTGGCGTTAGGTATGCTTTTTTTTTTTTTTTTGAGACAAAGTCTTACTGTGTTGCCCGGGCTAGAGTGCCGTGGCGTCACCCTAGCTCACAGCAGCCTCAAACTCCTGGGCTCAAGCAATCCTTCTGCCTCAGCCTCCCGAGTAGCTGGGACTACAGGCTTATCCTATTTAAACAGAAAAGAGTCCACCGAGTAAAGATATTTAGAAACCACTTTCTCTTACATTATTTTTAAAGTCATTTTTTCTCCCTTTTATTATTATTATTATTTTTTTTTACTTTTTAAACTTTTAAAAACTGTGACACAAATACAGACATTAGCCTGGGCCTATTACTGTCTTTTACCCCCACATCTTGCCCCATTGGAAGGTATTCAGGGGCAGTAAGATGCATGGAGCTGTCAACTCTGATAATAATGCCTTCTTCTGAAATACCTCCTGAAGGACCTTCCTGAGGCTGTTTTACAGTTAACTTTTTTTTAAAAATAAGTTAGAGTATACTCTAACAATAAGAAGTATGATAGTATAGTAAATACATAAAATAACAGTCATTTGTTATTATCAAGTATTATGTACTATACATAATTGTATGTGCTATACTTTTATGTGACTAGCAGCACAGTAGGTGTGTTTACACCAGCATCACCACAGACATGTGAGTAATACATTGCACTACTTCATTAGGAGGGCTACTATGTCACTAGGTGATTTTTCAGCTCCATTGTAATCATGGGACCACCATCATATATGTAATCCATTGTTGACCAAAACGTCATGACATGCGTGACTGTATAATGAAGATATTACTATCTGCCCCATAGAGTTGTTGTGAAGATTAAATTTATCCAAAACACTAGTTACAAAAATGCCTGGGCCGGGTGCGGTGGCTCACGCCTGTAATCCTAGCACTCCGGGAGGCCGAGGCGGGTGGATTGTTTGAGCTCAGGATTTCGAGACCAGCCTGAGCAAGAGCGAGGCCCCGTCTCTACCAAAAATAGACAGAAATTATTTGGACAGCTAAAAATATATAGAAAAAAAATTAGCCGGGCATGGTGGCGCATGCCTGTAGTCCTAGCTACTCAGGAGACTGAGGCAGTAGGATTGCTTGAGCCCAGGAGTCTGAGGTTGCTGTGAGCTAGGCTGATGCCACGGCACTCACTGTAGCCCGGACAACAAAGTGAGACGCTGTCTCAAAAAAAAAAAAAAAAAAAAATGCCTGGTATTTGGCATTCAGTGATAGACTGTCAGTAAATGATAGATTAGTTTCTTTTTTTTGTTTGTTTTGAGACAGGGTCTTGCTCTGTCACCTGGGCTAGAGTGCCATGGTGTCAGCCTAGCTCACAGCAACGTCAAACTCCTGGGCTCAAGGGATCCTCCTGCCTCAGCCTCCCAGGTAGCTGGGACTACAGGCATGTGCCACCATGCCCGGCTAATTTTTTCTATTTTTAGTTGTTTGGCCAATTTCTTTCTATTTTTAATAGAGACGGGGTCTCGCTCTTGCTCAGGCTAGTCTTGAACTCCTGAGCTCAAACAATCCTCCCGCCTCAGCCTCCCTGAGTGCTAGGATTACAGGCGTGAGCCACGGCGCCTGGCCTGATAGATTAGTTTCTATTAGAGAATTTACGGGAAGCAGAAAGAATCAGGGAATCTGAACATAGAGCTCTTTTCAGTCCTAAATGCTGTGACTTTGTCATCTGCTCTTTTTCTTTTCAATTTATAGGCTGAGGTCTGGCTCCACAAGCAGGCCCAGAAGGAGGGCTGGAGCAAAGCTGCCAAGCTCCGTGGGAGGAAGACTAAAGAAGGCCTGATTGGGTTGTTGCAGGAAGGAAGCACGACTGTATTAGTAGAGGCGAGTTGTTGGAAATTCCACATAGCAAGAACAACTGTCCTTGGGATGTGGGGCTTGTGGTAGACCCTTTAAAGAAGAGGTCTGTTTGAGAACCATAAGGGGTAGTTGAAGTTAAACTCACAAGACCTCAGTTATTAGCTATGGATTCACTGAAGTATAGAAACGCACAGGTGTGTTTATGGGAAATGGCCTGGCAGTCTAGAATATTACTCCTAAGTGTGAATTTAGTGCCGCCTTATATCTTGTCACTGATTGTTTCCTGGAATAGTTAGATTTTAAAGCTAGTAATTAATTAGTTGATGGAGAGAGAATAGCTGTTTTAGAGGAGGTTTGGGGGCCATAACTGGTGAAGAATCAGATGTGGATCAGAGTTGAGAGAGGGCAATAAACAACATGATAGCACAAGCTGTTTGGAGTTGGAGGAGGCTAGAGGGTGCATTGATGACGGTACGCAGCCACAGGCAAGTGGTGAACTTGCAGTGAGCCCTTCAGGACATTATCAAACCATCTTCTGAATGCGTGGGATACGGCCAACTCACTGGCCCGACAGGAATCACTTCATTCAGTTTCTGGCCTAAAACTAAGAGAGGAACTGCAGCTTTAAAATTCTAGGGTCATTCATTTCTGTTGAATCTGTAGCTTGTTCTTTCAATATCTTGGTTTACTCTCCAACCTAAAGGTACTTTTGGAAACTATCAATAAACAGTTTATATGGCAACATCAGTTTGTTCCCACAGGTAAACTGTGAGACAGATTTTGTTTCCAGAAACTTAAGATTTCAACAACTCGTCCAGCAAGTAGCCCTTGGAACCATGCTGCATTGTCAGAGCCTAAAGGATCAAGTCTCCACATACAGTAAAGTAAGTTTAGAGGTTGTCTCCAGCATGCTGAATTTGTTCTCTTCTTAGGGTCTTTGCTGTTCCTTTTTAAGACATTCTCATTTTTCATTTCCTTCACATCTCTCTGGACAGGGGTCCCCTTCCTCCTGTTGCTCTATCCTTTTATTCTGCCTCATTTAAAATTTTTTATTATGGTGCTTATATATTACAGTTTTATTTGTATGTTGTCTGCCTTCCGTAATAGAATGTAAACTGCATGAGGCAGGGAATTTGTCTTCACTACTGTATCTCTGATGAAAGGGAACTGGGCCCAGCACTTAGCTGGAGCTCAATAAATCTTCGTCTAATGAGTGAATGAATGAGTGGGGTGGAGTCAGCCAAATCAGTGAAGCCATCTGAGGCTTTGAGTTCAGAAATCTAGAGTGGCCTAAAGAAAAGATTTCTAAGTAGAGATTGGAGAAGGCACAATTTAGGAGAATAAGCATATTCTTGTAGAAGGATCAAGGAAGGAATTGTATCTGTCTGCCTTTGATTCACCTTATTTTCAAGGGAAAAATTTACCACTTAACAGTAATTTTTTTTTAGTTTATCACCACCTTTTTTCTCTTACTTATCCTCCTGAGATCTCTTAGTAAATGTTAATTATTACTGGCATCAAATAGTCATATGGAAAACAGCGTTTAAGATTATTTTTGAGAATTGTATTGAGTCTAGTTTTGATTTTGCCAGTAACTCTATTCATTACCCTGAGCCATTGACTTACTTTCCTGGGCCTCTGTTTCGTTATTTGTAACTTTGGTCCCTTTTAGCTTTATTTTTTTTTCCTTTTGACTCTTACTTTAATTTTTTTTTTTTTTGTGAGACGGAGTCTCACTGTGTTGCGCTGGCTAGAGTGAGTACTGTGGCGTCAGCCTAGCTCACAGCAACCTCACACTCCTGGGCTCAAGCAATCCTACTGCCTCAACCTCCCGAGTAGCTGGGACTACAGGCATGTGCCACCATGCCCGGCTCATTTTTTCTATATATTTTTTGTTGTCCAATTAATTTCTTTCTATTTTTAGTAGAGACAGGGTCTTGCTCTTGCTCAGGCTGGTCTCGAACTCCTGAGCTCAAACAATCGCCTCGGCCTCCCAGAGTGCTAGGATTACAGGCGTGAGCCACCGTGCCCTGCCGATTTTTTTAAACTTTTATTTTGAAAAAAATTCAAGCTTACCAAAAAGTTGCCAGTATTTTGAAATAGACTGTGGTGTACCCTTTATCTAGATTCACCATTTTTTAACATTTTGCCGCATTTGCTTTATCGCTTTTTATGTACATATTAGCATCACTATTTGTTTTATCCTTTTGTGAGTATGCCACAGATATCAGAACCCTTTATTCCTTTGGCATGTGTCTCCTAAAATAAAGACATTCTCTTATATAACCACAGCATAGTGATCACATTTAGGAATTTTGACATTGATAACAGTATTTCTATTTATATAATATATAATATGTATTCATATTTTTCCCTAAGCAGTTTTTCTTCTGATCTGGGATCCAGTCCGGTATCATATGTTGCATTTCGTTGTCTTGTCTATTTAATCTCTTTTCTTTGTTCCTCAGCCTTTCTGTCTGTTTTATTACATTGACATTTTGGAAGATTACAGGACATTTTTGTAGAATGTCCTTCAATTTGGGTATAGCTGATATTTCTTCATACTTAGACTCAGAATATGGATTTTTGTTGGAATATTAAGCAGAATTTTTCTCAGAACATCACATGGGGAGGCACATGGTGACCGTTAGTCCTGTTATGGATGTTGTTAACTTTGATGTTAAGGTAGTATTTGCTAGGTTTCTCCACTGTAAAGTTGCCAGGTTCTTCTTTGTAATTAACAAGTAATCTGTATGGGAGATTCTTTGAGACTGTGTAAACATCCAGTTCCCGAAAAGCTTTTGCCTAATGCTAATTGTAGCATCCATTGATGATTCTTGTCAGGATCAGTTATTACTATGATAGTTAGCACAATGATTTCTCTCTTATAATTTTTTTTACATGTATTAGTTTTATTAATATTAATTGGCATTATGGGCCGGGAGTGTTGGCTCACGCCTGTAATCCTAGCACTCTGGGAGGCCAAGGTAGGAGGATCGCTTGAGGTCAGGACTTCAAGACCAGCCTCAGCAAGAGTGAGACCCGTCTCTACTAAAAATAGAGAGAAATTAGCCGGACAACTAAAAATAGAAAAAATTAGCCAGGCATGGTGGCACACACCTGTAGTCCCAGCTACTCAGGAGGCTGAGGCAGGAGGATCACTTGAGCCTAGGAGTTTGAGGTTGCTGTGAGCTAGGCTGATGCCATGGCACTGTACCCCAGGCAACAGAGTGAGACTCCGTCTCAAAAAAAAAAAAAAATAGTTGGCATTATACTGTTAGGAAGAAATTTCCCTTTTACCTCCTTTATTTAGTGATTTATTTAGTGCTAACATTGACTCATGGATTTTTATTTTATACAGTAGGTTATAATTCATTTTGATATTCAAATTATCAGTGGATTTGACCAGGGCAAGCTGATTTTGTGCAATCTGACTCTAGTGTCCTTTTGATATGTTCTTATCATTTTCTGAGTATTTTCTCTTTGTTGTAACAAGATATTTTGGGTTTATGTTATTTATATTAGTATTACTTTCCTTGCCTCAACCATGGACTTGTCCACCTCTTCAAGGAGTCCTGATCCTTTTTAGTGGGGAAATAGTTTTTAGACACCAAGATCTTGGCGTTAGGTATGCTTTTTTTTTTTTTTTTGAGACAAAGTCTTACCGTGTTGCCCGGGCTAGAGTGCCGTGGTGTCACCCTAGCTCACAGCAGCCTCAAACTCCTGGGCTCAAGCAATCCTTCTGCCTCAGCCTCCTGAGTAGCTGGGACCACAGGCATGTGCCACCATGCCCGGCTAATTTTTTCTCTATATATTTTTCATTGTCCATATAATTTCTTTCTATTTTTAGTTGAGATGGGGTTTTGCTCTTGCTCAGGCTGGTCTCGAACTCCTGAGCGCAAATGATCCACCCACCTCAGCCTCCCAGAGTGCTAGGATTACAGGCGTGAGCCACTGTGCCTGGCCTAGGCATGCTTATTTTTACTGAGATGTCATTGTTTTTCTCTTCTTTCAGCAGAGTGTGTGCGTGTGTGTGTGTGTGTGTTTCAGTTCTAATTTAGCACCATAGAATTCTTCCTTTCCTTCCCCTATTCTATGTTTGTATCTTCCTTCTCTCATAGTGAGAACACTGGCTCCTAGCAACTTCAATATGTTTACTTATATATACTTATTTACTGAGTGTTACAATATATATAAAAAATTGTTTCAGAGTTGCTTCATCTGACCACTGCAAATAACAAAACTACTAAAGAGTTCAAGATTTCTTTGTAGTTCTTTTTGTGTTTACTTTGAAGTTATGTGCCCAAATGACTGTGTTGAAAATTATTTGGATTAGATTTTTTTTCCTTTTGTGAGGTTATGTTATTTGTTTGACATGCAGTTACAGTCTTATATTTCTGTCAATTTTTATTTTCACCCCAAATTCTTGTTGATTTAATTTTATTTTTGCATATGTAAAACATTAGCAAAGTCCCAAAGATAAAGAGGTATACTCAGAGAAGTCTTACTCCCTCTTCACTCTCTTCTACACCATTCCTAGCCACTCCTGTAGATGACCAATGTCATTGGATTGTGTTTATCTTCTTGGTATTTCTTTTTGCAAAAATAAGCGTATTTATGTAAATTTTTCTTACACAAATGGTGGTATAATATGCATATACACTTTTTTCCTGCATATACACATTTTCTTTTTCTTTTTTTTTTTTTTATAGAGACGGGGTCTCTGATGCCTAGGCTGGAATGCAGTGGTACGAACATAGCTCACTGTAACCTCAAACTCCTGGGCTCAAGTGATCCTCCCACCTCAGCCTCCCAAAATATTGGGATTATGGGTGTGATCCACTGCACCCTGGCCCCATCTATACTTTAATTTGCTTTTTTCACTTAATAATATATCCTGGAAATACTCCACAGAAATTCATGGAGATCTTCTTTTTTCTTTTTTCCAGCTGCATAGTATTCTATTGCGCGCATGTGCCATGGTTTATTCAACCAATCTTCTCCTATGTTTGGGCATTTAGGCTGTTCCCCAAATTTTATGATTAGCAATAATTGTTAAATGGATAATCTCATGCATATGTGCTTTTGTATTGTTGAAAGCATATCACCAAGATAAATTCCTAGAAATAGGATTGCAGGGTCAGAGGATAAATGTATGCGTAGTTTTGTTAGATATTGTTCCTCTCTATTGGATTTGCACCATTTTGTGTTCGCACCAACAATCTGCAAGTCTTCTAGCTTTATGATTGTATGAAAATATTGTTCCTGGTTGGTCATGGTGGCTCATGCCTATAGTCCCAGCCCGGGAGGCTGATGCAGGGTGATCCCTTGAGCTCAGGAGTTTGAGGCTTCAGTGAGCTACAGTTGGACCACTGCACGCCAGTCTGGGCGACGGAGTGAGACCCCTTCTCTTTTTTTTTTTTTTTCCTGAGACAGAGTCTCACTCTGTTGCCCAGGCTAGAGTGCCATGGCATCAGCCTGGCTCACAGCAACCTCAAACTCCTGGGCTCAAGCAATCCTTCTGCCTCAGCCTCCTGAGCAGCTGGGACTGCAGGCACACGCCACCATGCCCAGCTAATTTCTTCTATATATTTTTAGTTGTCCAGCTAATTTCTTTGTATTTTTAGCAGAGACGGGGTCTCACTCTTGCTCAGGCTGGTCTTGAACTCCTGAGCTCAAACGATCCACCCGCCTCCGCCTCCCAGAGTGCTAGGATTACAGGTGTGAGCCACTGCGCCCGGCCTGAGACTCCTTCTCTTTAAAAAAAAAAAAAAAAAATTGTTCTTGATTTCTAGGAATTACATTCTAAGAAGTTAGGCCAAAGGTTAGGAGTGGAATAGAATTGGGATGGGGGTGCAGTGATGGAATGAAATATTTATAAAAATGAAACTTATGAATTTTTAACATCCTTAGCTTAATGAAAATATTATTTCTCTCAGTTGTCTTAAATAATTTTCTTAGGCTATTTTTGTCTATTCTCTTGATAATTTGGATAGTGCAGAACTGATCCATGTTTGTTTTCTTTGTACACTTAGGGCTTCTTGAATTCCTCTGAGCTTTCTGGACTTCCGGCTGGACCTGACAGAGAAGGTTCTCTCAAGGATCAGTTGGCCTTAGCAATTGGTGAGTATTTATAAATATTATGGAAACTGGAAATTAAGAACTGGATCTCTCAGTATCTTTGGTGTTCCTCCTTGTATGCTCATATACATACAAGGGTCAGATAATATGAATGTGAGAAGTGGTTTGTGTGTTAGACGTTAGGGAGCAGTAGGCATCCTGAAGAGCTCATACTCTGCTGAAGGAAGTGCCATTACCAAGCTGTAGCCAGTTGCTATATCAGGGGAAATAGAGTCCCATTAGAATTTCTGAATTCTGTAAAACAATTTAGATTTGTGTGCAGAAATCTCATAGTTTTTAGCTGTTTGCAACTAATTAAAATTATTTTCATAACCGTGCCAATAAAACAAAGCATGTCTTTAGGCAGAGATGGCCCTTTGACTTCCTGTTGACTATCTGTGTATGTAGTATAGGAAAAATACTATATTAAAGATTATTTCATCTTCCTTATAAAGTGATCCAGGAAAATTTAGGGGCACCGTTTTTAGGAATTTGATCTCTCTTTTCAAAAACTCTGGTCCTGAATTTGTGAAGATACATTCTTGTATAACCCATTGGCAATGGGAACCATATCTGGATCATTGTGGTTGGACTGGTAGGTATTTTTCTTTCTTCCTAAGTGTCCTTGATGGAGCGAGGAAGGGAGGGATGGGGTTGGAGCTTGCTGGGAATTTATTCCCCATCTGAAATTTCCAGTCAAGGCATCAATTCTGTTTTTATCAGGTCATCTTGCAGGGTCTGTGATGTTTCAGTGAGTCATGGTTGAGAAACCAGGCAGACAGCTATGTATGGGGCTTATTAAGAAATTCTGGAAGAATTGGATATTTCAGCCTTGTCAGTTTCTGGGAATTAACTATTGGGTAGATGATTTGACCTATTTTAAAATATGTTTTAGTTTCCAAATTTTCCCTTTTTATGAGTGTTAAATATAACTATGGCTAATTTCAGGCATATTTGTGCAGACCCTTTTGTTTATTCTCCTACATTTTCCTACCTTCTGGCTTATTTGGACTTCCGTTAGAAGGAAATAGCATCCTAAGGGAAAGGAGAGAATATCTGTTTTTTGGTTCTCATAAACAACTCTGAAAATGTTATCTTTTTATTTTTGATGAGAGGAAGTTGAAACTATCAGATGACGTGGGGTTTTGGATTTTCTGGGGCTTTTGGTTGTGGACTTTTTCCTGATACAGTGGATGATCAGGAGTTGTGTCAGTTATGGTGGTATTCAGGAGGGATGGTAATTTGGTGGGGAAAAGCCCCTGACTGCTTTGGGCCAGATCTGAGTTTTAATTTCTGCTCTGCCGTGTATTTTTGGGTGGATTACTTAAGTACTCTAAGCCTAAGTGTAACATAATAATAATGACCAGCATTTGAGTGCTACGTGCCAGATACTGTAGTAAAAGTGTTTACGTTTATTATTTATTTCTCCCAATAACGCTGAAAGGTAGGCAGTATCATCTCCATTTTACAGATAAGGAAACTAAGGCTTGATAAATTAGTAAAGGGATTATGTCATTAAGTCACTTGCCCAAGGTTATATGGCCGTAAGAGGCAGAACTGAAGACCTGAGTCTGTGTGACACCACAGCCTATGTTTTTAAATATCAAGAGTGCCTGGCATGTAGTTGGTGCTCACTAAAGGTACTCTCCACTTCCTTCATCCTCTCCCCACACATCCCTTTTCCTCTTTAACAAAATCTGAAAATGATTATCTCTCCATCTGATTGCATATCCAGTGTAAATGGAGAGGGATTTCTTCCAACTTGGCCTCTTCTGTGCATATTCTGCTACCACCACAGGCATCATATTCTGGTGGTGTGTTTGTTTTTGTTTTTGCTTTTTTATAGGGAAACTGGGAGAAAACCTGATTCTTAAACGAGCTGCATGGGTGAAGGTGCCATCTGGGTTCTACATTGGCTCTTATGTCCATGGAGGAATGCACAGTCCCTCCCTTCACAACCTGGTGCTGGGCAAGTATGGGGCCCTGGTTGTCTGTGAGACGTCTGAGCAGAAAGCAAACCTTGAAGACCTTGGCCGCCGCCTCGGGCAGCATGTGGTGGGCATGGCTCCTCTCTCTGTTGGCTCCCTGGACGATGAGCCTGGGGGGGAGGCAGAGACTAAGATGCTGTCCCAGCCATACTTGCTGAATCCCTCCATTACATTGGGACAGTATGTGCAGCACCAGGGGGTGTCTGTAATAGACTTTGTGCGGTTTGAATGTGGAGAAGGTGAAGAGGCAGCAGAGGCTGAATAGGTTCCAGAGACTTTTAGCCCAGGAGAAATGTTTATTTTTAGTTCTGGACATCATTACAAAAGAAGTTATTTCCTGTGGCTCACGCCTGTAATCCTAGCACTCTGGGAGGCCGAGGCGGGTGGATTGTTTGAGCTCAGGAGTTCGAAACCAGCCTGAGCAAGAGCGAGACCCCGTCTCTACTAAAAATACAAAGAAATTAATCGGACAATTAAAAAAATATAGAAAAAAAATTAGCCGGGCATGGTGGCGCATGCCTGTAGTCCCAGCTATTCGGGAGGCTGAGGCAGGAAGGATCGCTTGAGCCCAGGAGTTTGAGGTTGCTGTGAGCTAGGCTGATGCCACGGCACTCTAGCCAGGGCAACAGAGTGAGACCCTGTCTCAAAAAAAAAAAAAAAGTTATTTCCTAAGCCTCTTCAAACTCAGAATTTGTTTTTCATTTGAATTTATAATGAAATTACATAATTCATGGGTAAAGGTATTAAATAAAATAGTTATATAATAAAAAGAATAGAATTTTTTCCATGTTTGCATAATACTGGGTTTAGCTGTTTTGTGCCTTTCTTGTGACGTGTTTTAGAAAACAACAAGTGGGCCTTATTGATGTGACTGGCAGTGTCTTCAAAAACAGGCATCAACGATTATGCTGCTACTCCCTTCAACATGGATTTATTATGGTGTCCCTGAAATTTCTAACTCATACATTCTATCTTACTCCTTCTGTGAGATAGAACTCTTTTGTTCTCCTTTCACTGTGTGACACTTTGAACTATGCTTCTACCCTGGAACTTCCCCAGTTATATTACTTCTGCCACATGGATTTCTCTGGAATTATTGATTCAAACTTAGAGTTGTCCAGAAACTGCGGGTTCATTTGTTCATGTCTGTACCATGCTTTGAAGGCTTTCTGCAGTGGTATGCTGGTTCTGGCCTCATTTATAGAAATTAATGACACATGGCCCTATTTCTCTTGGATAATAGAGTGTGGGTGGGTCCTGAGGTTTCCTGGATAGTTGTAAGGCAGGTTTTGACATTCTTGCATCAGAAACTGGAATTAGAGTGGGCCAGTTATCCAGAGAGCTCACTAAACATTGCTTTACTTTCCCAGTACTGAAACATTTCTCCCAACATAACATAAAATTACCGTAACAGGCTGGGTGCAGTGGCTCATGCCTGTAATCCCAGCACTTTGGGAGGCTGGGACAGGAGGATTGCTTGAACCCGGGAGTTTTTGAGACCAGCCTGGGCAACATAGTGAGACCCTTTACAAAAAATTTGTTTTAAAAAATTAGCCAGGCATGGCAGTGAATACACGTACAGGACTGAGGCAGGAGGATCACTTGAGCCCAGGAGTTCAGGGTTACAGTGAGCTATGCGTGCCATTGCACTCCAGCCTAGGCAACAGAGTGAGACCCTGTCTCAAAAAAAAGAAAAGAAAAAAATTACCATAACAAGCAAACCCCAAATACTGAAAAGAACTCCATTTGCTCATTACAGGTACCTTTATTTGAAAAGTTAAAAATGCTCTGGCACGTAACAGATCTCAGCATTTGGATTTTGACCCTGGGGTATATGTGTGATTCAGTGATTTACAGTTAAATGGATTTTAGAACTACTGATCTAAAAATTTCCAACAAATGGAGGTCCTGGCACAATATTAAATGTTTTAAGCTTAGTTTTTTGGTTGCCTTTCTTTGGACTTCTCCAGATTCATGCAGTTGTAGTGCTTTCTCCTGAGGCTTTAGCTAGAAGGCCACAAAACCCAAAAAGTGAGTGGGTTAACATTTTAGGCATATAACAACCAAGGAATGCAAGGATAAGAAAAAAATGGAGAACATGCTATGATTTGCAGATTATTGTATATAAATTAAGTAGCTGAATATCAGGCAGAAATTGGTAGGTGAATTCTTTTCTGATATTGGCACTATCTGCTCTCTTATGTGGTCTTGCAGTAGGCATATGTCTTCTTGCCTTAGAAAAGCCCCTTTTCTTTTTTCAATTGGAGCTGTTTCCAGCCAGGCAGAGCAGCAAATTGCCCTCTTGTGATGCCAAACACAGACACAAAGTCCTGTTCAGAGAGGTAATTCTAAGAGAGAAAACAAAGTTTCTAGTTAGAAGGGAGACCGATCAATGCCAACAGAGGTGAGGAGAGTGGGCACAACTGGGAGTCCTAAGTAGGTGCTTGAATGGGGAAGTAGAATGAATTTCTCAGAAACGTTGTAATGGACTTAAATTATTCATTGGAGAGGTGTTCTTCAGGTCATGGAGTCCCATTTTGACCTGTGGAAGAAGCTTGCTGGATTCACTGCTCTCACAGCCCCAGCTAGTACCAGTTTCTTGCCAGAAGGCAACAAGTGGGTTATATATTATGGATGAATTGTAGACATTAGATTTTGGCAGAATGGAGAACTAAATCAAGTGATGGTTTTCCTTGCTTTATGCCCTTAACAACCATTTTTATCCAGAAATTTTCAAATGCAAGATCAGGTGGATCTTAACTGAGAACATAAAATTCTCCTAATATTTATTTAATGTTGTAATGAATGTTTTGTATCCAAGTAAAGATTATTAAGATAGGGCCTCTGCTTTCAAGAAAGTCGTAGTCCAGATACTTAAGAATTAGTTAGATAAGACATTGTGGGAAATCCAGAGACCTTCCCAAATCAGCTTCTTCAAGGGGAAAGTGAATTAATTCATTCAACATGAATATGTTAATTCATTCACTGAGCAGGTGCCCCCTATCTGCTAGGCACCATTTTAGGTGCTGAAAACCTGAGGATATGGTAGTGAACAAGACAGACAAGGTTCTTCCTCTTTAGGATATTACTAGACGGGGAGATTGACAATGAACACATATCAAGGGACTGCAGGGGGTAAGGGAAACAGTGTTAGGGTGGTCAGGGAGGGCCTCCCTAGGGAGGTGACATTGGAGCTGAGACCTAAATTGTGAGAAGGAGCTGGTTCTGTGATGATCTGAAAGAACAATGTTTTTTTCAGGCAGGAGTACTAGCAAGCCTAAAGGCTCAGAGGCTGAAATAAGCATATTTGGGAACAGAAAAGTAGCCACTGGATGCAGGGTAGTAAGTAAAGAGGGTAGTGGTATATGAGACAAAATTGGAAAGGTAGGCAGGGGCCAGATTATGTAGGCTTTCTGATTCTTTTTTTTTAAGTGCAGTGGGAAGCCATTTGAGGTCTTTTAAATGGGACAGTGCCATCTGTTTTAAAAGATCCCTTTGGCTGTTGTGTGGGGAATGGATTGTAGGGACAGGCTTGGAAACGAGTTGGATCACAGTAGTCCATGATAGCTGAACTAGACTGGCAGCAGAGAGATGGAGAGGAGTGAACAGAGGCCAGCTAGTAGATTGATGTAGGAGGTGCGACAAAAGAATCAAGAAGGAGCCATGGGTTTTTGGTTTGAGCCACTGGGTAGCTCAAATGTCCATCCAGTGCCTATGATGTACCTGAACTGTCCTAGGCCATTTATTGAGATGGGTGCTTTATCACGGAGAGCTCCACTTACCACAGATACGGTACCTTCAGCCACTCACCTCCTTTTTAGCAGGGTTCACATCCTCAGGCAGCTCCTGATTCTGGTTTTTCAGCAGAACTTCTATGGGGTAATATTTTGGCTCACTGTCAGAATTCAGGGAGAGGGTGGTGGTCTTCATGTCCTAGGTAGGATAAGAATATAAACACAGGAGAATAGACTGTTCAGTGTCTGTGTGATCACAGTTCTGTGTGTGTGTCACATTTAACATTCTGACTTATGCCACTTAACCCTTTGTAATCATCTTTCAGAACAATGGTCCCCAAACCTAGCTGCATGTCAGAGTCATCTGGTAATCAAAAATATTCAGATTTGGGGATCCTTCTTGGGAAAGCTGATTCAGTAAGTCTAAGGTGAGTCCTGTATATCCATTTTGGCATACATGCTGTGCCTAAATCTTATTTAAATATTGTGATCACGTACCTTCTCTTGGCATTTCTTGTGGGGCACTTAGGCCCTACATTTCCAGTCTTTAAATGACTTCGGAATGAAGCCATAGTTTTCTTTCTTTTTTTTTTTTTTTTTTTGTTACAGAGTCTCACTCTTTTTGCCCGGGCTAGAGTGAGTGCTGTGGCGTCAGCCTAGCTCATAGCAACCTCAAACTCCTGGGCTCAAGCAATCCTACTGCCTCAGCCTCCTGAGTAGCTGGGACTACAGGCATGTGCCACCATGCCCGGCTAATTTTTTTTTTTTTCTATATATTTTTAGTTGTCCAATTAATTTCTTTCTATTTTTAGTAGAGATTGGGTCTCACTCTTGCTCAGGCTGGTTTCGAACTCCTGAGCTTAAACAATCCGCCCGCCTCGGCCTCCCAGAGTGCTAGGATTACAGGCGTGAGCCACTGCGCCCGGCCCATACTTTTCTTATATACAATTTAAAGACACTACATCAACATTAGCTTTGGAATCTGAATTTGTAAAGCACAAAGAACAAAATTGCCAGATGGTTTGAACACCTGGTACCATGCATTCATCCTGAGGTTAATGAACTGCTGGATTCCTGGCCTGAGGCTCTGCTTCTTTTAACTATTAAAATAAGGGTAAATGACCTAAGTTTTTGTGGACTTCACTGTCAGAAACTGAGAAAAATATCTTTTGGCAAGACATTGTCTCTACAAAAAATAGAAAAATTAGACAGGCGTGGTTCTGCACAACTGTAGTCACAGCTACTTGGGAGGCTGAGGCAGGAGGATCCCTTGAGCCCAGGAGTTTGAGGTTGCAGTGAGCTATGATGACGCCACTGTGTTCTACCTGGGCGACAGGGCGAGACCCTGTCTCAAAAAAAAAAAAAAAGTTTTTTCCTAAGCCTCTTCAAACTCAGAATTTGTTTT